TGTAGCTACTAGGGTCAAATTTATATCACCTGATAGTCACAAAATAACCCCATATAATTAACAGCCTAAAACTAATTAAAAGGCTAGCCCAAGACCACTGTCACTCAAAACCCTAACTTCCTTCTCCCTCAGCGATCATATGCATTTTCCTCAGCCGAAGAAGCCGTTGCTGAACGCCGCCGTAGCACGCGCCGCCTCCGTATTGAACCACCAATCAACTCCTTCCATCGTGATCCACTCCCGAGGGACCGCCTTCATCTGACGACCGTCTTCATATCACTTTTTTGTTCTTCTATAATTCAATCTCTACCCACTGTTCTCTCTTTGCTTATATAAATAGTGGGCGTTCCCACAAAAATTCTTCTTCTTCAAGAATGCTCCAAATAGAGGGGATATATACTGTTCGAAATTAATGTTTATTATTTGGTTAAAAAAGCAAAATTATTCGGTTAACTAATAAAATATTTGGGAAAAGGGGGAATCGTCTTGCACTTATTGTGAAATTTGTGACGATGCGAAACCCCCTAATACGTTGATACGGGAAAGCAGTTGCATGCACTATTATTGTGAAGAACGCATAAAAAATTATATAGGAGAAAAAATCGATGAAGATATAAAAGAAGTGAAATGCCCTGTTTCCAGTTGCAAGAGAATTTTGGATATTGAGTCTTTAATGCCTAGAGATTTTCTCAATCGAGTAGAAGATGCGATCAGAGAAACGGAGGTTTTGGTTTCGCCGTTGGTAATCGAATGCCCCTTTTTGGATTGTACAGGAGTTTTGATTGGTGATAAAAAGAAGTTTTTGATTAGGGCGTGTCCTAAATGTTGGAGAATTTTTTGTGTCAGGTGTAGAGATTCATAAAATATGGGAATGTCATATATTGCTTATAAGTTACACCTTAATAATATTAATAGGCAATTGTCCTTATTCTTGTGGCGATTGTGTGATAATGATGATGAAGAAGAAGATGATATTGGAAAAGGCAATTCCTTGGTCAAAATTCTCCAGTGAAAAAGGTCAACTTTTTTTCTTGAAGACAATTTTAATTAGTACTTCATTCCTCACTTGTTGATGTCAACATCAAGAGCATTGTTTTTGAATATTGGTATATTACAAAATATATATACAAAATAGACTATCACTATAAAAAAATTATACAAAACTAAACTGTCACTATACAATTTATATACAATAAACAATCACTATATAAAATATATACAAAAATAGACTGTCATTATACAAAAAATATACTAAATAGACTGTCACTATACAAAATATATACAAAATAGACTGTCACTATACAAAAATATATAAAATAGACTGTCACTATACAATTTATATACAATAAATTATCACTATACAAAATATATATAAAAGAGACTGTCACTATACAAAATATATACAAAATAGACTGTCACTATACAAAAATATATAAAATAGACTGTCACTATACAATTTATATACAATAAATTATCACTATACAAAATATATATAAAAGAGACTGTCACTATACAAAATATATACTAAATAGAATAGTCACTATACAAAAAAATATACAAAATATACTGTAACTATACAAAATAGACTGTCACTATACAAAATATATACTAAATAGAATAGTCACTATACAAAAAAATATACAAAATATACTGTAACTATACAAAATAGACTGTCATTATACAATAAATATACAAAATAGACTATCACTATACAAAAAAATATATAAAATAGATATTTCGGGCTATTAAATATTATATGTTTGGGCTGGAGAGTCATTTTGTGTCAATGGACAAAAATATGGGCTATTAAAATTTTGAAGGGCTATAAAGGGTAAGTTTGTCTAAAGAAATAATTTAGCCAAAATAGACAGACTAGAACATCCGGCAGATTCTGGGCCGTAATAATCCTAAAGATAAAGTAGGCCATCCAATGTTCTATGCGAGCCAAGGTCCGATGCCACGTCGACGGTAGCAAAAATAAGCAATGACCGACGATGCTATGATTGGACCAATAACAAGTTTTTGTTAATGTTTCGCATTTTGATAGGAATCTGTGGATGGATTTTTCATTCCTCACACGGAGCCGTTTTGTGCGATTACACACTATCTCTTTTTTGTTTTTAAAAAATTTATTCGGTGAGAAATGAAGCCAAAAAAAAAAATGTTCTATGCGAGCTCAACTTTGGGTGACGCACAGACTCTAAGTAGTCACTCTAAAGGATTGTTATTTAGAAATTAGTCAATAATTTTGAATTTTAATTTTAAGTTTAATTTTTTCAAGACAAAAATTTCAGGTTTGTCCTGAAGTTAGAATTTTTGGTTTAAAATTTCAGGACAAATTAAATAATGACTAATTTCTAAATAGCATCCCTGAGAATGGTTGTCTGCGTACTTGCCCCGAAAATTAGTGTCAGGTGGCCATATTCCATACCGAAAATTAAAAAGTAACCAAACTTTCAAAATTAATTAAAATCTAGCCATTTTATATAGAGTTGGACAAACATACCCCAAACTAAACACCAAACCTCTAGCGTCTTTTTCTCTTCTTCTTGCTAATATTCCCATCACATTAAGCCCTAAAAATTTGACTCCTTCCTCTTTCTTGTGTCAGTTACTCTTTATTTGAATTAAAGTTATATCATTAGCCTAATTTAGCCATACCCCAATACGTATGTGCCGAGATCAAGACATATTGCCTTGCCATTAGCTTTAGGCACTACTTAATAAAGGTTTGCCTTTTGGAGTTCAACTAAAAATATTTATGAAAACTTGTAAAAATGCTGGAGTTAATGATAAAGTTCACGAAAAAATGCTGGCGTTCATGAAATAAATTACGAAGTTCATGAAAAATGCTGGAGTTCGTAAAAAGATGCTAGAGTTCAAGAAAAGATACTAGAATTCACTAGAGTTAATGTTGGAAGTTCATGATAAAATTTTGGAGTTCAGAAAACTGCTCAAGTTGGTAAAAGAAGTGTTGGAATTATGAAAAATGATAAAGTTCACACAAAAAATGTTGGAATTCATGAAAAAGATGGAGTTAACATTGGAAGTTCATGAAAATATATTGGAGTTCAAAACAAATATTGAAGTTGATATAAAAGCAGAAATTCATGAAGAGTTGTTGGAGTTGGAACTTCTAACAAGTGAAATTTCAGGATAGGATCTTGGAGTTTGAAAAGACAGAAAAGATGAAAAACTGAAATTCTCCTCTTTCTCTGTTCCAACTCCAACGTAATATGCTGGAGATGGATTTAAAGAAGTTTGAACTCTGAGTATATTATGACGGAGTTTAATATATATATATATATATATATATATATATATATATATATATTTATTTATGAAAATGTAAGTTTTTGTTGCCTCTATTAAATTAGAGGTATTTTTGTTCAAATTTTTTTTTTTTTTGCATCTAAAAATAGTTAAATTTCAATTAGTTGTGAATCTGCAACTAATTTTCAATTACTGGTTAATTCAATTTTTACCAATTCTGACCTACCTTTATTTATGGAATATTTGAAGGAGAGCTTTGTAACTTTTTCTATAAAATTCTCTCTAGCTCAAAGAATTAGTTTGATTCTCCCTAAAAAAATAGTTAAGGAAAAATGAGTGTTTTTGTTAAAGGACTCACTATTGTAGAGAAGATCTCCTTGGCTCACGAGAATGATGGAAGATTGAATCATTCCTTCATTCTATTCCGGCTATTCCTTTCCGGCAGGTGATTTATCCATGAGCTAGAGAGATAAGAGTTTTGAGTCGCACGCAGGATATAGAAATCGGGCACTATCTATATATAGTAGCTTCTAGGTCTGCAACTAAACTAAAGGCTCTGGAACATAGTATACGCCTAGCCGATAGGCTAGCAGTAAGCTTGGCTACAGCGAAGCGCCTACCAAGCGCGAAGGAAAGGGCTGGTTCCTTGATATTAAGGTGTTGGTCGAAAAAGGCCACAGGTGGAAGCAACCTATGCTTTGACCATTCAATTGACTCCTTGTTGTCAGACCGTGCTTGCTGTCATGCTGACAAAAGCAGGGGTTTCGGTCGATTTTACCTACTATTGGATTTGAACTAATGACTCTCGTCATTTCCTTGCTGACCCATCATGCAAAAGGTACGCCGTTAAAGTGAGTGCGCTTTACATAAAGTAAAGGCTCTAAGCTCCGCTCCTTCGACTGATTGTTCGCATCGGGTAGCAAGGAAAGACAAGCAAAACCTTTATTGGATCAAGAAGCAACTGAGGAGAGAGAAAGGACCAATTGAAGTCCTCGGTGACCAACCATGGTCCCTGAATGCGTTTAGACACTTTCTTTAGCAGCTCCCAAAGAAAGACATCTCCTCTCACATATCAGGTTTGAGGCCTTTCATTTTCCATTCCTTTCGGGTCGGAAACGCGGGTTGCTAGTAGGGTTGTGCCCATTCTCCCTCTTCTTCCGCTTTACAACCGGAATAAGGAACCGCCGTGGGCTTGGCTTGTAGCAACTAAATATTGTTTGCGATAAAGCACCGTAGNGAGCACCGTTGATTGGTCTATTGGCAAAGAAACCCGAGAAAAAAACTAGTCATTTTTGAATTTCTCACAGCCCTATGGATATTGTTGATGTTTTCACCATAAGGGAAATTAACATACCTTTAGTTTAGAATGGCCCAAGTACTTTTTTTGTTTGATCATTTAGATTTGAAATTCCCCATTACTAAGGGAAGAGAGTGTGGATCAGGTGTCCTCTTGGATGTTCCAAACCACCAAAGTTTGGGACTCAAAGTGTGCCCTTATTAAATGTATCCCGCATTTGTGATGCAAAAGTGCACGCCTTGAGCTTTACCCTTGATCATGGTTTCAAAATATTTGAAATAATAGTTGAAGATTATTTCAAATGACCCAGAGGTTCCACTGGTATATCAGACAAATATTATCATTAGGGTCACTTTGCTTGCTTTAATATTTGAGTTAACCTAAATAATTATTAAATAAGAACATCTGAGACAAGAACGCTACTTAGAAAGGATTTCAAATCAAGGAAGTGGATCTCATCAGTATCTTTGTCCAATCGGTATCAGTTCTTTAACATGTCCAAAAAGAGAATAATTTTGCTTCGAATCAAGATTACAGATCAGAAATCCTTTACCACAAGCTGAAATCACACAATGAACTGAATCCAAATAACTCTTATTGGTTAAATACGTTGCGTCTGTTCCTGTATGCTGATCTACACTTCACAGAAAGAATCTTGCAAAAAATGATGAATGATGACAGCAGAGCTAATAAATTCTCTCAGCTGTGGAAACTGGACGTAAGAAAACAACAATAACGGTTATGTTGTCTTTGCTGCCTCGTTCCGCAGCTTCTGTTGCTAACCTCTTTGAGCACATTCCTGGCTCTTTCACTGTGTCTCTGATTATGTTCACTACATCTGTCTCACTAACAACATCCCAAAGGCCATCACTGGCCATTACCTGATCAATTGAATAAGGCATAAGCAAATGAACATTAAGATTTGCCTTCTGCTGCAACTACCATAAGCCGTATAAACATTTCTTAACATAAAAAGAACATATCTTTGTATACCCTCAGTGTAACACACTAAAGGTTAACAGATTGATCTGAAGCTTAGAAATACAGGGTTTGGCCTTGGGTTCTTTATGAGAGTTTCTTTAATGTTTTTTGTCTACATCATAAAGATCTTCAGCAAACTTCAAAAAATAACAACGAATAATACGTGAAAGGTAAGATATCTAGGCATCTCCTCACGTCCTAGATTCTAAAGAAAGCTCCTTGCCTCTCCTGGACTTACCCAACCACCAGGGGCGAAGCTAGAAGGTTACCTACGGATTTCGCCAAACCGATAGCTTCAGTCCAAACCTTGTATTTGTATTAAATCTGCTAAAATATATACAAAAATCAAATTCAAAACGCAGTTACTAACACCTGATGTCGCTATACCAGAATTTAGAACCCATAAAGATCTAATTCTGGCTCTACCTCTGCCAACCACAAAGAACCTATATTGCATCTTCAGCTTTTCCTCGTAACAATCTCAATGTAACTATATCATTAAAAATTGTAACTATATCCAGCCACATTATCAAGTCAAGATTAGAAAGAAAGTGTCAAAGACATGATAACTAACAAAAGAAAAAGAAAATAAAGGTATGTGGTTGTTGAATTGTGTGATTATCTCATCTAAAGTCTTAAGTTGCTAGGGAGAACACACTTTTATTTACTTAATTATGTTTTCAACATACCTCCTCAATGTGTGAGCTTGGATCACTTTTATTTGCTTAATTATGTTTTCAAATACCTCCTCAATGTGTGAGCTTGGATCACTTTTATTTGCTTAATTATGTTTTCAAATACCTCCTCAATGTGTGAGCTTGGATCACTTTTATTTGCTTAATTATGTTTTCAAATACCTCCTCAATGTGTGAGCTTGGATCACTTTTATTTGCTTAATTATGTTTTCAAATACCTCCTCATGTGTGGGCTTGGATCTTTTTCATGGGTCAAGAAGCAATTGAACATTCTTTTTGATGTTGGATGGCGGTGAGACTTGAAACCTCCCCTTACCTACTCTGATATCATGTTGAATGTGTGACCATCTCATCTAAAAGCTTAAGTTGTTAGATAGAGCATACTTTTATTTTCTTAATTATATCTTCAACCATGGTAAATGTAGATAAATCAGTAGAAGGCAAAATATGATGTGGTGCACCACGTTTATAGTACTCTTTATTTGTTCAATACATCGAACAAGACACGATGAGAAGCAATAGCCAGCCAAGCAAGAGAAAAAGAAGTTAAGAAGTCACCAAGGTAGGCTGAATGAAGTTAAGAAGTCGCCATTTTGTCAAGAGGAATGATATGTCATACGAAGAGGCATGAAAGACAAAGGAGGGGAGAAAGGGGGCCGACGCAAAGAGCTGGGAGCATATCTAGGTGGCCGGACTATGAGAGGATTTTGTGGGTGATGTTGCGCTAAAGTTGGATGGTAGTGAGCAGAGTGGGTGGAGGAAAGGGATGTATGAAAACGGGAAATGGAGGAAGGGAATATCTGGTGGTGCTGAAATAAGAGAGCACCACCAGAGAAGTTGAGGACGGAAACTGTACAAGGGCATGGGCATTAACAGGAGGTTAGCCGAAAGGGGCGAGGAAAAGAGGAAGAATGAAGAAAAAGAAAAAGAGGAGTCATGAGAAAGTGTTACTCTTTCTATATACAAGGGGCTAACACATTTCTTACCACATGCCTAATCAACCTTAATGTCCTATTTTCTCCTTTAGAATTACTGCATCTAGAACAGGTCAATAAATGACCCAGCAACATCTGGAGGCATAGAAAGCTACTAGCAAAGACTGGACCAAAAACCTATCAAACTTGATTTGGTGGCTCATCCTGCATACCAAAGGATCCTTCAAGATAAAACGTCCTAACATTAAGTCAACTTCAATTTAGATGGGCACTCAAGTATGTAGCATAGTGGTCAATAAAGTGGATGCAAACATCGATATCAATGTTCAAAACAAAGTAGAGACAAAAAAAACCAGGTGATTTCTTTTTCATACGTCTAAACCTTAGTAGGGTAGGGTTAACACCAACTTCTACCATGAAAGGTAGCAGGTAACAGGTGGAATAGTTGAGGTGTACATGAGCTGACCCGAACACTATTATAAATAAAATATAATAAAATAAAATAAATGACAAACAAAATGAACTGAGATTTAGGTAACTCTTAATGGGAACAAGGATTTGAAGGTTTGGCTGCTGGGCTCACCTTTCTTAACCAACAACTACCCCTCAATTGCAAAATAGTTGGGGGCTCCCTTACAAAACCGAAATAAAAAATTCTTATGTCAATATGAGAACATCCACATTTTCCCATTTATGTGGAGGTCTCATAGCCTTTTTCTCTTATAAATTCCTTGATTTGACCTTGCATATTCCCATGATCTTAAATCAATTTACAAATTCCAATATCAGCCAAGAGCTTCCCATCCTTCATCCACTCCCTTTCCCAACCTAAAATACTCACTAACAATCAACCCAATTCAAACCAGACAAAGCGATGAAAGCAAAAACAAAAAGTCCGAACGTATTCATGCATTTCAAAGTCAAAGTATTATGATTGACCACAAAGGACATAATAAAGGTCAAGAAAACATGGGGCCTCAAACCAACAAATCATTTTTCTTTTATAACCATGGTGTCCGGGTCAGCTTGCGCGCACTTCAACTAATTTCACAGGATATCTGTTACTTCCCACCAGCAACAGGTGCCAGGTAACTCTATCCACCAAGGCTTGGATAGATGGGAAGAAATCACCTAGTAACTTTTGCCTCGGCTAGATTTTGAACCTCATGGTTCTCACCCACTTCAATGACCACTAGGCCACACCTTAGGGTGCAAAATCATGCTAATGACAAAATGGAATCCACATCATTAGTTGTATGTTATTTGTGGGAACTGATTGTGCAACAAAAAGTATGTTTATATACCCAACACTTCTACAAAATGCCCAAATATACCTGTGTGGATATTGTGGGAAATATTGACACGGGAAAATTGTATTATTGATTAATTAACTAAGTGTTGATGTGGGACAATGTATATTACAACTATCTAAGGCTTGCTCTCAAGCCGGTGCATATAAATCATATATATTAAGCTTGTTACGGATATAACATATACGAGGACTAGTAAAAATATCTGCAAGCTGATCATTCGACTACACAAACTTTGTAATAATATCGCTTGCGAGTATCTTTTCTGACGAACTGATAGTCAATCTCATTGTGTTCAGTTCTCTTATAAAACACCGGTTTTATGCATTATGAAGGGCAGCATGGTTATCACACACAAATTCTATCTGACTGATTTCACCAAATTTTAATTTCTTGAGCAACTGTTTGATCCAAATTAACTCACATGTTGCCATAGGCAATACTCGATATTATGCTTCTATGCTAGATCGAGCCACCACATTCTATTTCTTGCTCTTCTAAGACACCAAATTACCTCCTACTAAAACACAATATCTAGACGTAGAACGTCTATCAGAAGGTGATCATACATAATCAATGTCTGTATATCCTACGATCAGCTCATGACCTCGATCCCCAAACAATAGTTCTTTGTTTGGCGCTGATTTTAAATACCGAAGAATTCGAACAACTGCATCTCAATGACTATCACAAGGAGAGTCAATAAACGGACTTACAATGCTCACGGGAAGGAAATGACAAGTCTTATCACCATGAGGTAATTCAACTTACCAACCATCTACCTATATCTTGCAGGATCAGTAAGAGGCTTCTCCTGTCCTGGCAGAAGTTTAGCATTCAGATCTATAGAAGTATCAATGGGTCTTCAACCCGTCATTCTTGTCTCCTCAAGAATATCTAAGGCATCCTTCTGTTGTGAAATAATAAGCCTGAGCTAGAATGAGCAGCCTCATACCTAGAAAATACTTCAATCCGCCCAAATCCTTAGTCTCGAAATGCTGAAAGAGATGTTGCTTCAAACTAGTGATACCATCCTAATCATTGCCAGTAATAATTATATCACTAACACAAACCACTAAATAAATACACAACTATGAAGCAGTATGCGGATATAATACAGAGTGATCAGCTTCACTGCGAGTCATACCAAACTCCTGAATAACTATGCTTAATTTACCAAACCAGTCTCGAGGAGATTGTTTTAAACCATAGAATGACCGGCGTAATCGACATACAAGGCTACTAGACTGCCCTGGAGTAACAAAATCAGGTGGTTGCACTATTTAAACTCCATCCTCAAGATCATTGTGAAGAAAAACATTCTTAATGTCCAACTGAAAGAGAGGCCAATGGCGAACAACAACCATGGATAGAAAGAGATGGATTGATGCTATTTTAGCCATGAGAGAAAGTCTCATTGTAATCAAGCCCAAAAATTTTGAGTATACCCTTTGGCAACACGGCGGGCCTTAAGCCAATCAATCTGGTCATTTAGACAAACTTTGACTGCATAAACTCAATGACAACCAACAGATGATTTACTTGAAGGAAGAGCAACAAGTTCCCAAGTACCACTCGCAAGTAAAGCAGACATCTAGTCAATCATAGCATGTCATCATCCTGGATGAGACAGTGCATCACATGTAGACTTAGGGATGGAAACAAAGGACAAAGAAAACACAAAAGCATAATAGGGTGATGATAAACGATGATAACTTAAACCGACATAACGTGGATTAGGATTAAGTATGGACCGCCGCATACCTTTCCGAAGTAAAATCAATGGACTAGGAGGAGACAAGTCCACAATAGGAGCAGGGTCAGGTGTAGGATGTGAATCAGCTAAGCCTGATGCTGGACGCGGACAATGACGATAAGTCAAGAATGGTATTCCTTTGGTTGGAGATCTAGGAGGAGCAATACTAGATTCCTCAACGGTCGGTATGGGTAAGACTTATGT